TGTATTTAAGATTGTGTGAAAAGTCGCTATGAAAAGATAAGATAGTACAAATTGTGGATAGATAAAACATACTTTAGAGCAAAAGTACTCCATTAGTGCAGTGCTAACATAAACATGATAAGATATGCGATGGTCCTCTCTGGCCTGTTTGAACACAAGACGAGCTGGGAGAATTCCTTCAGCACGGCGTGCAAAGCGCATATATTGAATATAAGGCTGAAGACAGGATTTAGTTATTGTTATATATCGAAAATTTTAAAGGAATAAAATATAAATATAATTTTTTTACCAAGGCCGGATCGATATTTTTCAAGGAAATGAGCTTCTTGTAAATCGAATGAACTTTCGCATATTTACCCCTGCCTTCCTCGTAATCGGCATAGGCAAAGTAAAGCATCATATTAGTCTCTAAAAGCGCAATAGCTCGTTCATACATAGCAGCCGTATCATCTGCAAACTGACGAGCCATTGCTTGATCCTGGGAAATAAAAGTAGAAAAAATTAGTCAGTGCAATTGTAAAGAAAATTAGGCCTCAAATTTTGGATCTTGAATGAAAGTGCTGGAATTAAATTTGGAAAACAAGTAGTGATCTGGACTTCGTTGAACGACCAGTCAATCAAAATTCAGGATTACTTGAAAACCCAAAATCTTTACATTTATAATAATGGAAAACTCACCCCTTTTTCTGCCAATAGCTTGCTAGCCTGATCAAGGTAACTTGCCGCTTCATACCAAATATCAGGGTGATGACTGAGGCATAGCAGGCATTGTTCATATGCGAACATGACTAGAAATAAGGCATAACATAACATCAGGCAAAATAAACTAACCTCTTTTTGTCACAGTGATGACATCTTCAGTCTTTAGAGGATTGTCTTTTTCCCACTGAATATATTTTTTCCATAGTTCTACCTAATAAGTGTATTTAAAGAACAATGAATACTTACTTGTTTTGCTTCATATGGAGTGTTCTGTGGAGGCACAGATGGCATATTGCGGGATAAGCCCTTAGTGATCACCTCATACTCCTTAGCCACACGACGAGCATTCATGTAGTCTCTACTGCGTTCTTCTGTAAATTTCTTTGCAATCAAAGGATTGATAGAGTTTTCGTACATGCAATAATCACGCCAAATGGTTTCGATTCCAAGCATAGGTGTAATAATCGCTCGTTGAAAAACTCGACGAGTAGCAGTAATTTTTTGGCTTTCAGCGTAGGACCCTTGTACCTGACTTAAGATCCAAGCATTTAGAGATTATTTTGTTTTAATGGCACTGAAATAGACAGTTGATTTCCTAATAGATAAAATTAAGCAAATGATTTCCTATTTAAATAAAACCTATATGGTCTATGAAACGAAAAGAGACGGGGACTAAACCAAACCACATGTCAGCAAATCCACAGGAAAATGGGTAGTAATGCAATTTTTTGCTCAATCAATCCGAGCGATTATCATCAAGTGATTTCTAGCACTAGTTTATATTTATCTCTGTAGAGCTATGCAAGCAACGACAATTATGTTTGAAGTCTGATTTAGAAAGGCTACTATCGTCAACAAAATAATGAGTTAACTTCCTCAAAGGAGACTGATAGGTCACCAGTGGAGTCACTGGCCTGTAGGAATTACGTAGTTAATAAGTTATGACATGAAAATCAAGACAGTGAAGCAATATTGCTGATACATTCCGTCACAGCCCATCAAAATAGTTCAGCACTTTTCTATGCCAACGAATTCATAGGCATAGGAGCACAAAAAGATTATCCATTTTAGCGGTTCAGGGATTTAAAATATTGTTTAGTTTATACCAGTTATGAATTTGGCCCTAGTAAATGAAAAAAGGTACGTAGCTGATGCAAAGTAAAAGCGAAATGATGCTCACATAGAGGATAAGATTATATAAATAAAGACATATATACATAGTATACGAACGATTAATTATAATTAGAAAGTTTTTTAATTCAGCGACTTATGACAAGTAAAGTAACGACACAAACGTCAAATCCACATAAAAAACTAAAAAGATAGAATAATGCCTGCATTTGATATTAGCATTTTAGACAACACGAATACTCAAAACAGATTTTATCAATAAATAAACGGTTTATTTATCCATTTCAAATTCATGCCAAACAAATAACTGACGAGGAGCATCGAAATGAAACCTGTTCAACGCGAAAATAATGTAAGTTATTTTTTAATCACATCCGTAATGTCGTACAAAATTGAGGATTTATTATGAACTTTCACGAAATATATAAAGGTTCTTCAGAATCATAGAATAAACTCACGTAGATCTGAGGAAGTTCGTATATTCTGACCAAATTGAATAAGAACTGAGGTCAAGCCCCATTTTATCTAAGGTGAAATCGTACGCTTGCGCCATTTTTTCTCTAAAATGCTTCATTTAATTAGTCTTACTTAAATGCTTGTTGTTTTCCTTTAGTTTCTTTGATATATTGCAAATATAACTTCCATAATTCGATATTAAGAACTTTAAGCAAGCAACGTTGAAAAAGCTTCTCTACTCGGTCATAATTTTTCGCTTTCATCTAAAAACAAATTACTAATGGAAGGATACAACCTCTTGTTGAATAAATATTTTCCAATATTGTCCGGTGGTAGGGAATTGTTTAACTATCCGTTCAAACACGTCTCTCGCATCCTCTATTTTTTTACTTTGAGCATCTCTAAGTAGTACACTCCATGCCTCAATATCCCACATTGAGTTCTTGATCCTCTCCTCGGCTTTCTGTACCTTGTCCATCTTATATACTCTTCTCTGTACGAAGGGCATATTGTTAGTGCAGGAGATGTAGTAAATAAGTAACGCGCGGTAAGATAAACCTAGATAAATAAGCTAATAGTAATTGCCTAAACTATCTAAATAATTATGATTTTGTTATGAAAAAATAATATTGTATTAATTATGAAACAAGCAAAACTGATGGTTAAGAGAGGCGCCCAGTTGTTGGAAGTATTTGCTCATGTGTATTAAAAGTTTTATAAGTTTGCAAGGTAAACTTAAAAATAAGCAAAGGGGTCAAACCTGTTTACAATTCATTGCTATCAATGCTACCTAAAATGGTTTATCCATTAGACTAGACTCAAATTTAAAAAGCAGCTATTACTCAAATTTAGGATTTACCAAAACTTTATTGATGGTTTTCGTATAAATAATGACCCTTCTGCCATTGATGATACAATAATAAAAGTTATTGAAGTGGGTTAACCTAGTTTGCGCAACTTGGTCTTGATGTCAGGGAGACTTAGTAGAACGCACCTAGTCCGAAGTCGT